TTGAAGAACAAAATATCTAAATCGACCAAGTTTGAACCATTGATTAAAATATTTGTTTTTATTTGTCACTTTTACGTTCTCTTCCAAAACGTAATTTTCATTTCATAAGACACTCACTTATCTTCCTAAATCCTCCTCCTCGCCACCACAATCTTCATCGAAAGATAGGATCAGCTTCTTCCTCCAAAGGTAAAATTTAATCACTTTTTCTCGATTTCTGATTATGCTCACTTGTGTTCGATTGTTCTCTCTCGACTTTGTTATCTTAAAAATCTTACGAAAACGGTTGAGGAAGAAGAAAGTTTTAATTATTTGTTCCGTTGCTTGATTTAGAGAAACCTTATGGAAAAAGTTATGCCCTTTTGCTGTTTGATTAAATGCCCCAGTGAGATTGATTTATGAAAGCCTCTCTTGAATTTGGTTCCTGTCTGATTTTTCGGTGGTGAAATGGTTAAATCCTTAATAGGTTCTGTTATCTTATAATTTTAATTTCATGTTCTTTGTATTTGTCATAAAAATCCAATCTTTTCTCCATTTTTGTCAAAAATCTTCCACATGTTTGGTGAACGAAGTGATTTGATGATGATATGTTGCTCTTAATGCTCAGATTCGAGCTTTATAATGGCGCTGTTTCCTCGACACCACGAATTCCCCTGTAAAGATCATGTTTTTCAGAATGGAACTTCAACTCGACAAAGCAAAGCAGAGCTGTTGTTTGATTCAAATGGTTCAAGACGTTTTTCGTCCGGCAGAACATTCCCATGTCCGGCGTTTGACGTGATGATGAAGGCAGAGGTTACTAGCAGTAGCACTAGTGGTCTGAAACATAGAGCAATTGCTGAAGGAAACCCTCTGGGGCGGGATTGTATGGTGAAGAGTCATATAAGATCGATCCCGTATTGTATTTCTTCAAGAGGAAAACTATGCTTGGTTAGGGCGTCATCAGAGACCAAGATTACCAAGAAGAGACTTAAGCTGTTGGATTCTTACTTTGGGAAACTTCAAAGCAATGATGAGAAGCCTTCTATCTCAACGGGAGATGAAATTGATTCGAAAGCTGAACTCAATGCCGAGGAAGAGTTGGAATCTTTGAGCGTTTATCTTGACAAACTCCAAAAAGGTATAATAATAATTTGGTGTCTTGTTGCTTGATCTTTCCAGCTTTCCTCTTTTTAGTTCTTACTAATTTGGCTGTTTGTCAGATGCAAAATCTAAAGGTTTAGTCCCGACGGTAAAATCAGGTGGTGGTTCATTAGCAAGCAAATTGAGACAGGCTGATACCGAGAGTAATAGTAGTCCTTTCCAGCAGCTCGATGATGATGATCAGTCAGAAGATACATTGGACTTCTATGCTGTGTAATAACTCGTAGTCACCTCTTGTTTGTCTTACATGCATCCCATGTTCTTATTGAAATGCTTAAAAATCTTTTTTGGTACTCCATTGTAAATGCAGGAGCATATTAGCATCCATAAATGTTGGAGTATGTCTGTTTGAAGCGGCGGCTCCAGTTAGGAACAACGATATGGGACTCTTATCACTCCCGCTATTGTATGGAGCAAAGATTAATGATCTAATCATGGCTGGCGAATGGTGGAGGCTCGTCACACCCATGTTTCTGGTACAAGACCAACAAATTGGGTCTGTTCTCCCATTCTTTACTGTTTCAAAAACACACTTGACCAAAACAGACGGAGATTTCAAATACCCGAAACAAAATTGTCAAAATCATAAGTATAAATTGCTTTAGTTTCCTCATTCTGTAGTATCTTTTTGCGTACCACATTGAGCACTCTTGATGCCTTGGCTGCTTGTAATTTTCCCTTTTTTGTCACTGAAACACTTTCATTTTACATGTGCAGCACTCTGGAATTCCTCATGTAGCCCTTAGCTCCTGGGCTCTGCTTACTTTTGGACCAAAAGTTTGCCGTGGCTATGGACTATTCACGTTTGGTCTCATTTACGTTCTCGGAGGAGTCTCTGGTAATTTCATGAGCTTTCTTCACACAGCAGATCCCACAGTTGGAGGAACTGTAAGTTAACTAATTCGATCCATGTGATATTATCAAATTGCACCGTTCTTATACTCTCAGAGTCGCCCTGACGTAAATTGATTGGTGTAGGGACCAGCATTTGCGTTAATAGGAGCTTGGCTCGTTGACCAATCTCAGAACAAGGAGATGATCAAAAGAGATGAATATGAGGACTTGTTTCAAAAGGCCATTATAATGACAGGACTCGGTCTCATATTAAGCCATTTCGGTCCGATTGATGACTGGTAAGCTTCCAATATCCATCAACAGTTCTGTCATTGCTTCTTTTTCAGCATTCGTTTACCAATACTGTTTGCCTTCTAAGTAACATTTGAGTCATGACAGGACAAATCTTGGAGCACTTATAGCTGGGATCGTGTACGGATTCTTCACTTGTCCTGTGCTTCAATTTGGAAGAGAAAATGGAAGGCAAGAAGAGATGGTGACGGTTGGACCAGAGAAGCCGTATAATGCTGATCCGTGTAAATCGTTTCTTGTGTTCACAGTCTTTGTCGCGGTTATTGTGACTTCTCTGCTACTCTTCGGGGATGGACCATTGGACTTCCCTACGTACGATGATGTTGTCTACTCTCTCATTTAGTGTATCATCAAGACATCAAACAATGTAAGGAAACTTTGGCGTGTGTGTTTATGTAGTGGAAAGTTGGATTTGGGTAAACGAGGAAAACTCTCGTTTCGGGGTATAGCAATATGAGAAAACTATATTGGCTTATGTATATTTCACGTTTTTCTTTTGGTTTTTCATCAATGTAAATTATGTTGAACCAATGTTCTTATAAGAAAATAAGAAATCAGAGAAGAAGCAAGTTTTGATTTCATTAAAAAGGAGAATAGGAAACTTCGAGGAACCTAAAGGAGGAATCAATCGCAACTCGCAAGTAATTTCGAAACAAACAAATAACAATAAAAGCTGTTTTTTTCTTTCTTATAAGAATCCTGAGCTAACCCTCACTCAGATTATCACATAATCCTTCTAGGAAGTTTCTACCTTTAGAAAACGACTTCCTCTTGTTCTTCGGTTTTTATTACTCTGCGCCATCGGGCTTCGATGCCTCCTTGATCTCATCTCCTGCTTCATCCTATTGACCAGAAAGAAACAATCATGTCAACTGATGAATTGCTTAAAGTAGTAATATTCGGTTTGATTCTCTGTTTTGCAGTGAACGATGATATTGTGTAGAGTAAGTTGAGTCTTACTGTCATGTCTGAAGTCCAGAGAGTGAGATTGTCTCTGAGCAACTGCATAATCAGAGTACTGTCCTTGTATGATTCCTCACCCAATGTATCCAACTCAGCGATAGCTTCATCAAAAGCCTGCAGAACCAAAAACAAATTCATTTAGTAACAGGTACATACGGAGCTAGCAAGTTGTCGCATCCAAACACGAGAAACAACAGAGGTTAAAGAAGAAACCTGTTTAGCGAGGCTGCATGCACGATCAGGCGAGTTAAGGATTTCATAGTAAAACACAGAGAAGTTGAGTGCAAGACCAAGCCTTATCGGGTGAGTGGGAGCTAACTCAGCAATGGCAATGTCCTGCAATATTAACAGGGAAATATGGAACAATCATAACCAGAGAGAGATGATAACATCGAATGATGCAAATGTGAACTAACAATCACTTACCTGAGCAGATTTGTAAGCAACCAAAGTGCTTTCAGCAGCTTCTTTCCTCTCAGCACCAGCCTTAAACTCAGCAAGATACCTGTGATAGTCTCCCTTCATTTTAAGGTAAAAGACTTTAGACTCAGCCGGTGAAGCAGATGGAATCAGATGAGCTTCAAGAACATTCAAAATCCCATCACAGATTTTGCTAAGTTCAGTTTCGATTTTTCCCCTGTAATCCTTGATAATAGCGACATGATCTTCGTTCCCTTTGCTCTCTTCCTTCTGCTCAATCGAAGAAATGATCCTCCACGAAGCTCTTCTCGCTCCAATCACATTCTTGTAAGCAACAGAGAGAAGATTCCTCTCTTCAACAGTGAGTTCTTCAACATCCACAGTCTTTGCTACTTTCTCCATGAATTCAACCATTTCTTCATAACGTTCGGCTTGTTCGGCCAATTTCGCCATGTAAACATTCTCTTCTCGTGAAGACATATTTCAAGAATCTAGAGCAAATCTTACGAAAGCAGAAACAATTAGCAACATAAATCAAACCATAACCAAATATAACATCAATCATGTTACTTCACGGATTAAGAACACACTCATGCTCTACTAACCCTAAAACCGTGCAATAACCGAATCAAACCATAACCCAAATTAACATCTACCACTTAAAATAATGTTCTTCACGGATTAAGTAAATAAATACTCATATTCTCCCTAAAGCAGCGATAAGAACAGCGAAACTTAGTGAATCCGATAGCAAAAATTGAATCAAACCATAACTCAAATTAACTTCTACACACTCATTCACTGAATCAATTATTCATCAACTAAGAACACACTCATGATCATCTCAGATTAAGAACACACTCATGTTCAGCGAAACTTAGCGAATTAATCAGATCGATTTCCAGAATAATACAATCAAACATCAGATCCACAAGAAAAAGCTAGAACTAGAACGAAGATGAGAGAGAGAAATCAGAGGCTTACCTTTTTTTTTTCTTTTTTGGTTTGAAGATCTGATTCGAATTGCTAGTGGTTTGAAAAATGGAGTAAGAAAATAAATAAATAAACTGAATCTGATATAATGGAAAATGGAATAAAACTGTTTTCGAGGTGAAGAGTTAAGAGCTCCAATGGAAACTTGACAGGTGTCAGATGCTGAAGGTGACTGATGCATCGACAAGCCACGTGTCTGCCATGCTGCTGAGATACATATATTTTAGAACTCAGATCTGATAAATGGGCCAACTTATGGGCCCAATGGGTTACTATTGAAGCAGAATCTTGCGACTGCACAGCCAACAATAATGAGAGACATTGATGAAAGCAATTTGGGTTTTCGAGTCTAGTTTGAGAGTGATAGTAAGGAACTGATCCCTTCTCTTGGCCAAGGTTACTAGTCAAGTTCAAGGCACAAGAGAGGTAACCTCGAGCAAAACTTCCGGTTTACCGGGGCAAGGATTTTAAGAGAAACATCTTCAAACCAGATAAGCTATGATAAGTTTTAAATGT